GTCAGAGAACTTGCTACAGCTTACCACAGTCCCTTTGCATCCCACATGGTTTGGGTTCCCTGCCAATTAATGAAGGGCTACATTTTGTCACTCTGGTATGACATGTTACTGTCCTTAACACTGTCTGACACCAGGACACAGACACTGTCCTGAGGCTCTGGTAATAGAATTTCAGGAAATGCTTTCCCTTCATCTGTCAAAAAAATAATTCATCAAATAACAGCGTGGGTAATCCAAACCCCCTCCACTGACAAATCTGAATTTGGCATATAATGAAGAAAGCACTTAATCAGTTGAGTCACTGTATATAAAGACATATTGTAGAAGATGCTTCACAATGTTCACCATTATTATCCCTAACAATATAAATTTGACTGGTCAGTTACTGCATTACTGAAAAAACAGATGCATTTTAAGTGCAAAAAGCCAAACCTTTGTAGCTTGATGTTCTTGCAATTCAAATAAAATGGATTATATCGAACTGTTCCCACAGAATGCTGCAGTATAACTGTAGTCCTCACAGCTTCCTCACAGTTAGCTGACCACAACTTTCCAGTGAGCAAAGAAAAAGCTGCCACTCCCGTGTTTCATTGCAAGTCAGGCACATCCTGAGTTCTACCACTGGGTCCAGTCCAAAGCTTTCCTTGTCAGCCCACTTCAGAGTGAGTTTCTGAGGATTACTATCGTAAAAATGCAGCAGAGACCCCAGCTCAGGGAAGAAATGATGATGTCTGGCTCCAGATCAGAAGGCTGAAGGATCTGCTTTATTAAAACTATACTATATTACATTAATGTACTATTTCAAGAGATACTATCCTATTCTACACATTTACTTCTTGCTTACCTATCTAACTCAAACTCGTGACTCTCTGCTGAGAGCCTGAGCCACAGCTGGGTCCATTGGTCACTGAACCCAAAAACCTTCACCAGAATCCAGCCCAGCCATCACTGCAGGTAAACAATCTCCACACCACATTCCATTGGGGAAAGCAAAGGAGCAGAGATAAAGATTGTTTTCTCTTCTTCTCTCTGTGCTTCTCCTGAGACACAGAATTATGTCTCTCTGTCCAGAGAATATGAATGTCACAGATTACACTATCATGTCCCTTTGCTTGACAAAACCTACAGGTCTCATTCTCCACTCTTAATAATGCCATGGTTTTCACCAAAGATGCTCAGTGTGCAAGTGAGAAGGGACATGGACAGGCATGAAGGAGGGAGAACACATGGAAACTCAGTGGTCTCAGGCTGTGGGATGTTGCAGACTGAACCAAAGGCAAGGTGTCTTCAGGAGCACCTCCAAAACAGCATGGGATTTGTGTCTGGCAGAAGCACAAGCAGCTAGTCTGCCAGACGTAGATAGATACTTAGCCATTATTAAATACCTCTTATTAGTAAATATTTAGAATAGATACTCAACAAGGTAAAGGCCTTGTCAAGCCTCTAAAGGGGGGAAATGATGCCTCAGGTTTTATCTTTTATATTTTTCAGATTCTGTGCTGCTTTAGTGTGCACTTCTGAGCTTCCTATGAGGGGATGATGGGCTCTCTTCACAGAGTAGGGAGACAAAACAATTCCTTCTCCAGCTGGGGACTAAGGACAAATGATCCAAATCTCAGGTCCAAGAGCATAAACCATGTGGACTGGAGAGAGAAAAACAAGGAGGATGGGATTTCATAACCTAAAGCTGTAATTGGACAAATAACTCCAATATGCAAATGGAGCAGAACTTATAAAAGTGAGAGACCTTGTGACCAGTTGTCCATTTTTTGACCATTTTGGTCCCTCTTGGGTGTAGCCCTGGCTGGGCTCTTGTGCTGCCCAAGGTGGATCCATTGATGCCTTTAAATAAATCCCTGTTTTATTCTTTAATGCCATTTAGTCTCTGTTCTAGGGCAGCATTCACAAGGCATCAGGCCAATTACATATACACATTTATATCCACAAAATGCATACAAAAAAAAATAGGTGCTTTACCATCCACACTTATATCACACCCCTAATAGCTTCCTGTGGGCTATTCCAAAAAAAACAGGGCTGTTCTCCTGCACATATCTGCCCTTGGCTTGGGTGGCTGCTGGATCAGGCCCTGAGGCTGCCCTGCCCACAGCTCTGTGCACTCTCCCACGTTCCTATCGGTCCCTTTGAAAGGAGGGCATTGATGTGTCTCCATCATGCAGCCATTACCAGCACGATGCTGAGACAGATCAATCAAAGGCAATCCAACAGCCAGATTCAGAGGATTCCAAAAATTGAGGTCAGACTCAGTAGCTCTTAGACACTGAGGCATATATACAAAAAGGCAAATTTTAACCGTGCAAATCTAAAAATGTCACTTGTAGTGATAGACTGGATGTGTTTCAGGAAGAACTGTCACTTCCTCCCCCACTACCATCCCTTGCCTCTGCATCACTGTGGGCATAAGGTGTCTTTGTCCTGGTGGCCTTATTCTAACTTTTCCCATAACACACAGCCCTCTGATTTTACAGCACAAGCCCTGTCAATGGGTGTCCTGCTGCTTTGCTATGCCTTGAAGAGTCAACTGCCCTGCTACAGAACACCTCTCCCTAGGAGAGGGCCATTTTGTGGCTAAATCCCAGCTCCTGGGTCAGTCAGATGCAGCAGCTCTTCCTTAAGAGAAATACCTCAAAATGCACCAGGGATTGGGTGATGGACAGCTGCCTGGGAAATCTCTTTAAACTGGTGTTCTGCTGTGCATAAGGTTGTGGCAGATCCTGGGGATTTACAGACTCCAACATGAAGGCTGAGAAGCCAAAGATTTGACTAAGTTACAGTGCTGGACTTGCACCAGAGAAAACAAAATCCCTGTAAATCTACTCAAACCCATAACCTGGCTAATTATCTCCATCGACCGTGGCTTCCTGTGCACTTTCTCCTCAGATGTTTGGAGTCAGTAAGCTACTACAAATGATTAAATTATTCACATTATTGATAATGTGGCATTTAAAAACCCCACCTGATGCAATACCCCTCGCTGAAGTTACAATTTGCAAGCAGACAAACACAGCAAAGATGACTAAATTTTGCTGCAAATAACAATCCCGATTTTAAGATCAAATTCTGAATTGAACATCAAAAATCTAGAAGTCCTTCCCCACATTGCATTTAGCACATCCAACTAGTAAATACAAGTTTGAAGTGGCAAAGCACACTCTGGTCCCTTTCTATCACTACAGTAAGTTGCTAACTGGTTTCTCCTTCAAAAATGAGAAAAAAAAATATTGAAAGAAAAGTATCCTACGAAGGTTTACATTGCCCTGATTAAATGTGAGCTTAGCCAATGCCTCAGCGTGCAGTGCACAGGCTCCCAGAGAGCCAGGAAATCAGGCATGAAGGCAAGCAGTTCCAGGGACTTCTCCAGTGCTCAAGGACAAAGATGTCATGAGATAAGTTGCATTAAGACTCCCTAACAAAAGCTGTACATATTGACAGTAAGTCTCCACACCAGAGATCTTAGAGTTTGACAGTGAGAAAACTGCAGGGGAGGAGGAAATGAGGCCACAAAGTGGTGACTGAAGCAAACTTCACCTGGATGAAGAGTAATCTTCTTCACTCAGCAAATGTGTGTCCCCAGCACTACTGCATGCCCGAGAATATACATCCTCATTTTGTCTTGTTCTGCTTTTAACCACTTGCCTCAAAAAGCAACATGAAAAGGCATTGCTATAATGCCTGCTGATGGCCAGTAGTGGTTTTCTTCCTCCTGTCACCCATTAGCTGCAAACTCAATTAAATGTTTGGATTTCTCTCTGACCAGCCCTTAGAACCTGAGCTTCAGAGAGCCTGAGAAAAGCATTTCTCTCCTCTCTTTTTAAGGAGAGGAAATTCCTTTTGATCCTGTAAAGTTATCCCCACTTCTGCATATGTATGGGGGGACTTATCCAACATGGGGTGACAAAGATGAGAAATGCACTCAGTCTCTATTTGCTGGCTAAACATAGACTAAAGCTGGGTTAGAGCAGAGACAAGACCTCATTAGCATCTCCCCAGTCATCAATACTGTGTTCACCTGAATGCTCACATATGATTTCTTTTACCTTGGCCAAAATTTGAAAGACAATCTGCAAGAAGTGACTTAAAACATTTACTTTTAGCAGATATTTCCATTTCTAGCACAATTGCTTATGAAATTACTGTATGGTCCAGGAGCCTTAAAATTCTCCAGCCTCTAAGAAATTATGGATAGCATCTCCAAATGCTGTCAACAGCCAAAAAAAAACATTGCTAGAAAGATCTCTTTAGCATGCATGAATGGATGCATCAAGGGCAGTTGTGTCTATACAAGAGAAATTCTTCTTGCACTGTGCTTTTGGGATTTGGAGTGGGAACTCTGCACAAAGATAATTAGCATTTACTTCTAAAACAGGAAACTTGCTTTGCATATTTCATTTTGACACAGTCACACTCTGTTTTTTCTTCCCTACAAATAACAAGCTGAATTCTGAAAACCTTACACAGTTTACAAATAGACTAAGTCCCAGTGAGCACCCAGTGAAATATTGCAAGGATGGGCAAGGATGAATAAATGCTGATACTGAATTGTGGTGCTCCCAGCCAGAATGAGCAATGCATTATTTTGCAAACAGTACATGATTTCAAGAAGGTCTTGCTACTGGTGAGCAATAACAGGAGAATCCATCCTTCCTGCACAAATGCACGAGCCAGCCATGCACAACAGTTGGGCAGTTTCCTACTCCCTGGTAGCACAGAGGGCCTGGGCAGCTGCTCTGTACCAGTCTGTTACCACATCCCTTGATGGGTGACCCTGTCTCATTTACAAAGAAGGTCTTTCCTGAAGCCTTCTCAGAGCCCTGCCCAGAATTCCAAGTACGTATCATCTGTGTAAGCCTGGGTGAAGATGCAGCCCTTGCAGTGCCAAAGCACATGCACCCTCGTGTCAGCTCCCCCACGGCATGTTTGACTCCAGCTAACATCTCCTCTTGGAGAAATACCCGGGGGTCTGCAAGGAGGTGCATTACCTGCAGTCTCCCTGCTCCCTGATGACAGCTCTCCGTTGATCCCGTTCTCTTTGGTCTGAGCATACGTCCCTGGCTGCTCGTGGCTGCCCAGCCTCAGCTCCTCATCCTCTCGGTACGGAAATCCATTGGCACTTCTGACCAGTCCAGCGCTTGCGCCACCCTGATCCTTAATTTCAGGTGAATGTGGGTGTGAAGAAGCTTCTGTTAGCTGACCTGAAGTCCAGTGTGGTGCCTTGGCTTCGTCTTTCCTATCCTCGGCCATGGCTCCTTGCCTTCACCGCGTGGCCTGTAACAACAAGAGCAGGAGAGATCAGCTCCAGGAGCGTGACTGTCAGCACAAGCATGTCACCAGCAATGCTCTGGTAAATTCAAGCCAGCAGAAGAAAGAAGTATCTCTGTGTGTTTGTCTTAGCCATGAGTGAACTGATTTAAATCCAGAAGAAACCCCCAGCAGCAAAAATTATGGGTCAAGTCCTCCCTGACTCTCACGTGCCTTGCAATTATTAGCACCATTTTCTTGATGGCTGCCTATTCATTAATCTGATTTTAACACATTAATTACAGTTAAAATATCAACCCAATTAACAAGAAGTGAATCTGTCATCACAGTGCCACGACCCGTTCCCAGGGCAAAGAAGGAAGAATGCCACAATACAATACAATACAAGTGAAGCTGCTGCTACACGGAGGGGGTGCTTGTCAGGCACAGATGCACAAGGTGATGTGGCCTCTCCAGCACATGAAATCTGCTGCTTGTCATGACAGAAGCCAAGTCTGGGAATGTGCACTGGGTTCCTGAAAATCCACACTGTTTGACCCCAGTTAAATCCCCTCTTACTTGCTGTCATGTGAACATTCACACACATCTGTCCAACCCTTTTGTCCAGAACAGTCTGTGGGGAACAGTTTGTTTCTCACACAAGCATTTGCATTCTCTTTTGACTATGAGTATATGTACAGAAATAAAACTAATCGTTATTTGCTACTTCACACATATTTCACTCCTGTTAGTTAGATCTTATTAGTCCAAGCCAAGGAAAGAAGCCACTGCATAAGCTATAGCACTTGGCTATTCCTCACAGATAAATGCAGCAGGAACTCCGCAATATATAAACCTAGGAAGGCAATAAATCATAATCATATTTTGATGATACGGTAGCCTCTGGAGAGGAGAAGGTGACCTGCCCTGAGAGTTAGATACTTCAAAGTGGAAACCAGCAGGCCTTTTCCACAAGCACTTGCCACCTCCTTTTTTCCCTGGGAGAAGAAAACATAAAAGCAGTGAGCTGAATTCAGTCAACCAGCCACATATCACAGAGCCTGAGCAGACTAGAAAAAGCAGCATAAACAAGATAGTGCATGTATTCTGCAGACATTTAACAAAACACAAACCAGAGAAAGAAACTACTTTCCATAATGTCAGGTCAGTTTGAAGAAAACCTCTAAACATGAGAAAAGGCTATTTGCCAGATAATCATTCATAATTGATAATTTGACCTCTTTCTGATCAGACATTATAATTTATTAATAACAGCTTTCAGAGCTGCTGCAGATTTTACAAAAATCATAGTGAATCACAAAATTAGATTTCATTCACAATATGTGACTTAAACTGGAGTTCCATATCAAAAAGGACTAATAACTCTTCTGCCTCATGGTGAAGTCATGTTGTTTTACAAAGTGCTCTGCCCACTCTCACCCCGACCCAGCATCATTCCCTGGAGGTAAGTAACTGCATAAAGACTGAAGGAGCTGGTGAAACTTGCAGCCCAGGTTTTACTTTGAGCTGTACTGAAAATGAGGGATGAGCCTCAGTCATCCACAGGTAGGAAAAAAGTAAACAGGCTCCACATCCCTTTGCTTTCCTCACTTCAGCTACCCTAGTGGGAGGAGACTCAACAGGGAGACATTCTGCAGGTACAGAGCTTTAAAGCAGCCATCTCACATCATACCAGCCCAAGATGGGCAAAACCCCCTCCTACAAACAAAAAAATTATACCTCTGCCTCTAGATCTGTTTACTGCATGATTCTAGACAACATTTTCTCATCAGAACCTTTCCAAAACATATGGCCATGGGCCAGATGTCTCCCTTTTTAGAGCAATGAGTAGCACACATTCAAAGCCACCAACATTTGGGATATGAAGACAGAACAAATCCTGTTCTGGGGGGAAAAAAGGAGGCAATTCATTTATGTCCCTTGGGAATTCTCAGGAAAAAAACACCAGAAAAACCAGAAAAAACAACCAAAGAAAAAGCCCAAGCCCTAACTCAAGGTTTCCCTCACCAACCCAGTGTGCTTTGAAGCTGAGAGCAAGACCCAAGCACAGGATGCACCTGCCCACCAGTGTCACCAGTTCAGCCCCTGGGTCACCCATGAGAGGAGCCTAAAGCCACAGCAGGACAGGAAGGGTTATGAAAGAGCCAAGTGCAGGGAATGTGGCTCTGAAAATCACTGGAACAAATCTAATGGTTCTATTCCAGCACCACAGTTTGGTAGCTATTATTCCTGAAGTATCCTTCCTGGTTCCAGGCAGACACTCCCTGCTTCACTTGAAGCTCTTGAGGAAGGATATTCACATCCTCACAATGGACTGTGTCACAGAAGTCCCCAGTGAAAATAACAAAAGTGCTTTTATCTTTAAAAATAAATACAGTGGGCAGACTTCAATGCGAGCTGCGTGTATCTGGAGGCAGAATTTGGCTCAGTATTTATAAAAGATGGTTACAGAGTAAAGCATGGATGAATTCATTCTTGCCTCTCTGTTATTCATCAAGTGCTCTCAGGGTTTATAATGGTAGGAGAGAAACAGCAAGTGAGTCACACAATGCATCTTTGTACTCAGCAATTTAGCAATGACTATCTGCTGTGTGCTGTGATTCATCCACAGCTTGGGTTAAAATCCAGAATACACAGGTGTGCTTTGCACCATCAAGTGAGCTGTTTTTCTTTCATTTAATTAGCATAGAATGGAATTAAATTAATCAGGTAAGGTAAATATTGACAGAAATACTAAAGTGGCCAGACAATATAGTAGAATTTAAATAGTGATAGCTACATAACAAGAAAAAACCTGGAATAATTTGGACAACTTAGGGAAACACTGTATTTCAGGGAAGCAAACAGTCCTTCTTTTTACCACGAGTTTCTTATTTTTTGCATAAACTGTAATGAAGGCTTTCAAAAAGATATAGATAAGAAGGCACAGCCAGTCCTCTGAAATGCCATGTTGCTTTGGTTAAAATTGATTTGGACCTTTATGAGCCTTTCTTTGCTAACCATTACAGCAGAACTGCTCTATCAGGGAGGACACAGCAGCAATCTTACAGCAAGTTCTCACTCTTTGTTGAAGGTTAGTGGTAGTGAGGAGGTGACCAAGGAGGGGCTTGAGCACAGCAGAAAGTGCAGTGGAGCTCACAGACAGCACCAGCCTTGGCTGCACCAACCCACCAGCACACCCCTTACTCCAAAGCCATTCCGGCCCACACCACACCTACAAGCCACGGGGCAGGCTGTGGTGGCCACACAGCACAGGTAACACTCCTCCCCCGGGATGTTCTTCCCCTTGAAGTCTGATCAAGGCTACCCATGCAAATCCCAGTGTAGGACTGGGGTGGGAAACGTCCCCTCCTTCCAGAGGGATCATGTAGGTGCTGTTGAGCACCACAGATCTCATCAGTGATACTGACCCACACCCGTGAGCCACGCACAGCCCTCCCAAAAAGGCTTTCCTTGTCCATGAAGGACACTACTTGAGCCATTGCTTGTCTGGAGAGATTGTGCTCCACTGGCAGCAGCAGTGATGCAGCAAGGAAGGGATCCTTCAGAGACATTAAGTTCATGTTGTTGTAACTCAGGCAGTGCACCGAGGGGACAACATTATGGATCTGAAGTAGACATCTTGTCTTCTGAACTAGTAACCTGGAGGAGAAATGATGATATAAATGAAGCCTCTCAGCTTTTTCAGCCACTTGGGAACTGTACAGAGACAGAAAATACTTAAACACAGAGGGACAAGTCTCGTGGGGGATATGTGGCCTGACTCTGCAGTTACCTCCTCCTTTTGCAGGCACTCTACACATATTTATTAATCCATATGCTCTTTCATGTGACACCAGCTCCTGCTGCCATGGCTGGGTTGAACCAAGCCTGAATGCTTTGAACTCTGTGCACATCAAATCACCCACAGTAATACAGCATGAGGCCATGATATGCAAAACCCAAGATAATGCTGATTTAAATTTCCTGTCCTGCTAGCTGTTCAGAATCATCTTAGTGTTATATTAACACTGCCTTTGCATATAAATGGATGGATTTTCTACAAACTTTTTACTTTTTAAGACAAGAAAATTAGGCCAATACTGAAGACTTTTGCAAATAGACTTCCCTCCTATTTCAAGCCATTTTTTCTGCTTTTGTATCTATGAGTCCATTCAGAGAGAAATGAGGATATTTAATTTCAGGGAAGCTAATTCATCAACTAAGAGAAACAGCTACCTGGATACATGGAGGAAGACCTACAATTCTAGTTCAGGCAAAAATTATCACTGGAGTTTCCTGAAAGGAGAAGAAGACCAGAAAAGCAAACCCTGGCAGGGTGTATGCCCAGATCCTGAGCACAGTGGGAAGTGGTTCCAGGACCAAATCCTGGTTCCCAGAGGGGAGGGCAGTTTGACTCAGATTCACCAGAGTCAGCTGCCCTGAGTAGCAGATGCTTCCAAGTCCAGAGCCAGAAGAGGGAGGGGATTGCTCCACAGATGCAGGCTCGAGAGCACAGATATGGCTAATCACCTCAGGTATCCAGGGCTTCCAAAACTCCTCATCTAGACTGCCTAGAAGAGATTGTTTAAAGACATTTAAGAAATTCAGATAATTTCTTTCAGAGAAAAGAAATTAATGAGGTGACATGTTCGCAATTTTTTGTAGAAAGAAGAGCATTAAGAATTAAAGAAGAAATACAGATATCTTCAAAATTAGTTACACTATACATAAACAGGGTGCAATCAAACTTACACTAGTAAATAACACAACAAAAGAAATTTCAAGACCACACACCAACTGTTCAACAGGGATGGTGGATCTAAATATTAAATACTAGGCATAGTGATTTAAAAGGTCCCAATGGAATTTTCCAGTAAATTTAACTTACTAACAACTTACATCTAGAAGAGCCAAGGAAAGCAGGGAGGTATCAGGAGGCTGGAATAGAAACAAGAGGCAGAAGGTGGGAAATTTAGATGGATAAGTTCCAATAACCTCCTGCCACTATCAAAAGCTCAGGCTGA